CTAACCGAGTTACACCTGTGAGAGTTAGGGGGCTTAAAAAAATAAAAAAATCAGGCCTCTAAATGCTTTGAATACATTTGTAATGGAAATGCTGGAAGATCTTAAGTGCAAAATAAAAATGATTGCTAGCGCTTCCAAAATACACATCAAATATCCTAGAAGGGCACAGAGTTTATTTGACACACTCATTCCAAGAAGGCCTAAATACACTGAAGTATAAACTATACATAATTTAAAGTGCAATTTCAAATAGAGGAACATGCTGATGGGAGGGGAAATCTTCCTATTGGGTAGGGTGACAGTGTGGAGACCAATCAGTTTCAAGATTTCAACGCGAGGGTGGTAAAATTTTGCAAGCTATTTTAATGAAAGTGATGCAAATCCTTTTATAATTGCTGTTGTGAGACTTCCAGTATTATGAATGGCACAAGTTTTTGTAAAATCTGCCCATCTCATGGGAAAACAGCTGAATCCAAGCCAGAACACAGGAAATAAGCCCCTTTCAGCTCTTGGTGCCAGGGCCGGTTCAGATGCAGATGCAAACCTCTGACTCTAAGATCTGAAAGCCTTAAACAAAATATTTTTGCATTGTAAGCACACTATATAATGTCCTCTCATAAAGTGACCTCTTCACCTGGGTAACGTTAAGTCATTTTAAGACTAATATATTTGTAGAATGGAAGAGTTTAATTGTGCAAGAAGTAAACCAGTCAAAGAAACAGACATGAGAGTAAACAAACAAAATGTTACTTGTTTCATACACAGCTCCTGAAGGGTTTCTTCTTGAAGATGTCCAGCATTCAGTTGAGAATTTGCAATATGTTGCTGGAAGTCTTTGCTCGCATTGTCTTTCTCAAGTCCAGCTCAAGAAGCAATGGAAGGGATTTTATTGATTAATCCAATTGAAAATTATTAAGGCTAAACTTAAGAGACCAACAAGTATGCCAAAAATAAACAATGCACAAGCCTGTGAAGACAGAAGAACAAACAGTGAATGTTGAACAGCAGAATTCAATTTATACTTCTGAGAATTGCTATTAAGACCCTCACTATGAAAAAGAAATTCTACCTCTAATGCATTGACAGGCCTTAAAAGCACATTTTTAAATCATCTGCTATGTTTAAAATAACCAAGTATTTAAACACAGCTGCTCTTTCCAACACAAATTAAATATATTCAGAAAGATATTCATCTATATGAACACTAAGCTAAGCCCGCTTTGGGAATGGATTTCACAAAGAATTCCCTTTCAAAATTGATTTAGTGTGTCCACACTATCCACCTGGGAACTGTGTAGATGAACTTTGCATATTGGCATTAATTCCTTTCCAGGAATTTCATTAATTTGACCCTATGCACACAGGGGCTCAAAGCAAGTTAAGAAACAGAATTTAAACTCTACTTAAAAGACAGTTCTAGTTAAACACATTCCGAACACTGCTAGAGCAGCCAGGGTGGACAGAGAGAGACGCTCTGGAAACCATGTTTAGAAACAGCGTTCTATTTTCAACAGCATTAAAACTGTTATAACAGTAAGCAGATTAGCTATTTATAGACAGCTCTGCTGATGTTATCATGCTGAATCTATGCAAGCAACTCACAAGGCCCAGATACTCAAGACTTTAAACTGTATGTGGGTGTCAATACTAGCCTTTCCACTAAGATTTCCCATAATTGCTAGTCCTAGTGCAATCCTATGGAGGAGAGGGCGAGGGGACATAAAAATGGTGGAAACATCAGTGTAGATAGTCTGCTGGCATTTTAACCACTGTGTCCTAACTTTTCTCAATTGATATGGTGGTTAAAATGACAGTAACCATGGTCACAGGCAGTAGCATGTTGTTTGCATTAGAACTCCCTCATTGGCTACCACTGGTAGTGTTGTAGCTGTTTTATCAACCATGGGAAATGTTAGGGGAAAAGGGGGCTTTTGCCAAGGAAAGTTTATTAGGGAACAGCATATAAACAGCGTTCCACACAAACATGGTTTGGCTGGACAACATGGACACGGCCAAACTATATCAGAGCCATGTTTAAAAACAGATGGATCTGATCTAAAGCTCCAGATCTGGACTTTGGGGAAATTTGGATTCAGATCAATATTACACTGCTTAGGCTCATGAAAGAAGTGGACTGCATTAGTTTCACTAAGACCAGAGAACGGAAACAGAACTTAGCAGAAGACAAACTCCACTACTATTGCAGATTTCAGGCTGCTAAAAATGGGTGTAGTGCAAAAGGCAAAGCATATTCTGTAGTGTAATAAAATGTATCTAACATTAGAATCCTTGCATACAATAAAAACACATGGAAAAATAGCATACCCCAAGCTTCTGTCGTGATATAAAGTCCTCCCTGCTAAGTTTAAGATAAAACAGTCCAGGATACACAAAGAGCAAACATGTAGATGTGGTGGAACCTTTACGAGATAGTAAGAAAAATTTTAGTTGTAGTAAGACTGGTACAGGGATATATGCAGATATATTGTGTGATCTTTTTAGAATAGAACCCCATAATCCCCAAAAGAACAACAAAAACCCCAAACAAGAACAAAAAACTTACCAACTAATCCAAATACATTTCTAATGTCGGGCACATACAATGCAAGCAAAACAATGATTGCATTGAGTGCTAAAGTGACAAGGATATGGCAAATCCATGAAGTAGGAAGATGAGATAAAAATATCATCATTACAGCCTTCCTTGCCTATATAATGAAAAGGGGGAAAAATTCAAGCAGGCACAAAACTTTATTCTAAAAGCCTTATTGTTATTTCCATTTTGATGAAGTACACCTCAGGTTTTACTTGGAAAAGACCTTTTTAGAGGAAAACATTTATTGATGTAGTTCAACAAAAGCCAAAAAAAGGTGTTCACGTATAAATGTCATAGAAGATAGGACACATACTTTACAGCCTTTAAAGAACAAAACATATTTAATTATTGCAAAATTGTGTGCACACAAATCATTAATATATGTAACTAGCTCCTTATGAAGAGCATATGGATTGTAGTAGTTGGATATACTTTGATGTGAATATTTGCTAATGGTTACATTCAGCCAGAGAGGCCTACCATTATCCTGAAAACTAAATGAAATTCTGAACATAAATCCCCTACAAACTGACAGAATTGTCCCCTACATTTTAGAACCACATGATAAATACTGCTCTAAAACTTAAGTAAATGCTACACTATGTGAAGACAAAGCTACATTAAACTTTCATTAAATCACTAACAGCAGAGTATTATTTGCTGACTTCAATTTTCCTCTCCATACAGTCTTTGGAAAACAGAATTTAAGAAAAATCAAACCAAATAAATTTTAGAAATACCGGTACTTTAGTCTCTAAATTAAAAACAACGCTGTGGGTTAGTTTAAATCTAAGCTCAGTCTCAAAAAGTATAAATTAGCTTAGTGGTTAGTTGTTATTTTGGAGTTTTCATGGAACATATGCAAGTATGAGGTCTTTGATCAATCACTTGACAAATTAGTAAGATACACAAAGCTAGATGTGACTAATATTGCAGTCTGCAAAGAATTAGTATTACCATACTATGGAATTGCTATGCCAGCATCAAAACTTGTAGGAGTACTTACAGGGAAATGGATGAGAGGCACTGTCAAAATCACAGCAAATAACATGCCTAGTTTTACAGTCATGATGACAATATCATGCGGTAGGTACCTGCTGTAACCTTGCAGTAATTCTGAATCCACTTTGTCTGAAAACCAAGAAATTGAATGTCATAAATCAAAGGGAATTCAGAAACAGAACAACTATATATCACCTCCATATTAATTCTCAAAGTTTCCATTTGGAGCAACTACAAGGCTGTTTTGTGCCCAGGGCAGAATGGAGGCTGTGTGTACAAATTTCTTCCTGCCCCTAATGAAGCCAACAATAAACTTATAGATGTTTGATACACAATCTAGAGAAACTTCCATTGTCAGAGTCATGAAACCAAGCTATGTACAAGTGAGAAAACAAACAGAGAAGAAAAGGCTACAAAAGAGGGATTCTCGGGCTTTGCAGATGTAGACTATTAGCTGGCCAATCCACAGGCAAGGCAACATTGTGCTAGTGTCAGGGATATGGGTGGTTGGACTCAGACCTGCAAAATGCAGTATAGACACTGGAGCCCAACGTAGGATTACAAAGAGTATAGATGCTCCAGTGCTCCATTAACAAATCCAAGATCTGCTAACTCGAGTTTTACTAACCCTGCACTTACACTGCAGACACACCCTGAGTGGCTTAAAGAAAAGAGATGATGAGGAGACAGATGATAAATTATCCTGTAAAACAGCACAGCTCAAGGCCCATTGTGTATGGAGGGAATGGTTTAATAGTAAAACATATTAGTCAAGTAAATCCAATCAATGGGAGGTAAATAGC